CCTGGAACCCCCCCCCCCCCACCACCACAGCAAACTACGCATTGTAGAACTACTTTGCTAGCTTTCATTAAGTAAACATCCACCAAGGGCGCAATTTTTGCATGGTTTAAATAATTAGTGGCAGGGTTGCTGCTTGCGTAAAATACCCATTCGGTGACCTAAGCTGGACAGGATTGACACACACCACCGCTGAGACACAACGGCAGAGTTTGCGTTATAGTGGGTCCAAGGCACAAAGTATTACGCCGACTTACTACTTAACCGCCACGATTGCTTACAACAAGGCGTTAGGTTACTTTGTTAAAATCGGTCATTTTCACCAATACCATTAAACAAAAGTGAACATCAGAAATTAATATCTATTTACAATCTCCACGCACAGAAACCCAACCAGCTAGCGATGATTTAGTGTTTTTTTTACATTGAGTAGCGAGACGGTAACCCTTGAAAGGACAGAACAGACAGAACTTTTCTCATGAAATGAACGAGTGATTAATTGCTCAAAGAGTTCAAACATCGGTCATCGCCGTCGCGGTCGGAATTGTCGCTCGCAGAGGGTAGTTCGGCGAAAATTCGCAGCGGATTTGGATTAGCAGGCACAGTGATTAGCCCAACCTTAAACAATCAAGTTCTTTTTAAGCAGCTTCGAAGTCACCTCGCTTAGTCGCTATTACTTGGTTCAATCACAGCGCCAACAAAAGCAATTCAACCGACAACGATTTAAAAAAAGGCCGTTTTGAGTGAACTTAGGCGGTAAAGCTTACAATTTTCCGACAAAAAAGGTTATTCGAGTAACAATTGCAGTCTTGCAAGAGGAGGACACACAGAGCGCACAGGAGAAAAAAGTCACTGCAAGAATGAGCAAAACAAGTAAATTAGAGTCGAGGTAAATTGAGGAAAAGTTGCGGAGCACACGACATATTATGGCGACATAGAGCGGTGGATATGTGGACTTTGACTGGATGGTTGGTGAATTCGAGAGGTCAGAGCTGCGACTCCTGAAAGGTTAAAAAAAGCGTTAGGTTGTCGTAAACGAGGCACAATGAACGATGTTTTCGGCTCTGATCCTACCCCGCTAATGCGTCTGATTTCTAGAGACAACATAACATTTAGGCGAAAACTGGCAAACACCAAGAAACCAGAGTATCTAGAAATTGAACATCTCAAGTTGCCACGAACACGACTAAACAGATACCTGCTGATTTGATGAATATCGTCCACTGAAGCATTCCAATTAATAAGAGTCACAACTAAGCAAAACCCCTCTCAGGTACCTTCATATATGCTTCCCTTCGAGAGTGGAAACCGGTCTTACTGTTGCCTTGTTCATTCAATGGGCACTTGTGTGCCGCAAAATCGACCTACACACACGGAAATAGCTATTCCAAGTGAAATGCATCTACCACTGTGATAAATTAATCGTGTTAGATCTTAAAAGATCGACTGGGTAGTTTTGCTGTGCAATCAGATCACAGTTGACACCGTTAATGAGCCATGACACGTTGAGGGTACAGACGGAGCTTAAGAGGCAACGGTGCGGCTTTTGTCAATGCTACGAAACCGTGTTCGTTCAATTCACTCCGAGTAGCCCTCCACAGAGGTGGCGTAAATGCGTTAGCAGGACAACTTGCCACCTCAAGTAGTTGTCGCTACAATGCCGATATGTGAAAAAGAACATTGAGACCACTTGATCGGCGTCTACGACAATGCTTGAGAACGATGACCTTGGTTGCAATGTTGCTTATCGTTTGCCTCAAATCAATGCAGTAGGAAGGTGGCTTGTGCAGTTTGGGCGTTGTGACTTCGTGCTCAACATCTAGACGCGGCCAGGACGTCTGTGTGTGCACTCGCGATGAAGGTCTTCTCGCAAAGTCTGTCTCCAAAAGTCTTCTCTTTACAACACAAAAGCTCTTAAGGACAGGTAAATTTGTTAGAAAGGCCCCCTGTAAACACATCGTTGTCACCGGGCCATCTTCTGGCCTGTGGACTGCGTCGTCGAGGTGCCTTGCGCAAATGGAGCCAACCTGTGCCTCTTCTGAGGGCGACGGCAGCGTGCAGTCAGACGTAGAGTGGAGTGGGATGCCTTCAGCCTGCTCCCCTCCTCCCTATTACTAATTCCCACAAATGCGTTCCGTTCGAAGCAAGCGGTGGTCTGGTTGTTTTTGGCAAAACCAATCATTCGCAAGTGCTACATAAGCACTGTTTGCCAATTTTAATCGGATGGTTGTTGGGGCACCGTTTGATTTCAGATGGCGAGGTTGAACAGACAGAACTCGCTGACATTCGACGGATCGTGACTGAAGAGCATGAGTCCCGGCGGCGGCTTGTAGAGGTTTTTTCGATTGTGAATTAAGCAAATGCTTCAACGCCTCGCCCCTCCTTTTTTCACTGCCATCGTCTACCACCTCCAGATTTAGGGTTTTTTCGGATTGTATAGTGTTTCAGAAAGTATATGGAAGATGTTTGATGACGGGTAGACGTTACCCCATTAACTGTACTTCAGAGTGCAAAGGATTAAGGTAAGACCATCCGCTTGTTTTGGGGATCACTGTGCAAGCGATTACTGAGCGCAAATATTGATTTCCTGGGGCATCGGGGCAAACCTGCCTTGGTCTTGCAATTCTCCGTATAGCGTCGACACTTCATCAGCACCTTTTAATCGAGTTCTGAGGGTCGTTGACAAAGAGGAGGATTGCAAAGTAGCTGGACCAGCAGACGGCTGCAGCTCGTGACTCCAACGTGCTTCGATTGACGTAAATCCGAATCGGCAACTTCGCCACGCACAACAGTCACTGCTCGTAAACGACTGTGCCCCTTTCCGCTTAGACGAGAACGCGGGCGCATCATGCTGAACAGCTCGATGTGCAAAAGTCGATACCTCTGTTTAAGGTTCGTTTGAGCATCGAGAGCCAACACGGCCAGGTGGTTTCTGTCCCAACACCTAATGATGGTGACGATGATAAAGTGAAAATCCTCAACGAGGTAAACGACTCCCAGAAGGAGAGAATTCCCCATTTAACCGGAAAGCAGCGAGGAACACTCTATTCATCGCTTGCCGACTTTCCAAGCCTGTCTCTTTGCACGGCTAAAGTTTGCGCATGACTAAAAATGGGCACGCCTGCCCATTGCCTTCGTTCTGCAACTGAGCTTACGACGTAGCACCTGTGTTCCGACTAAACAAAACGACCTTGAACTGAAGTGAATGCGCGCAGCTGTTGGTAATAACAACCACGGTAGAGCAGGGCGCAATTCGTGATGCGCTTCTCTCCAGGTGTGCACAGCAAAAAAACTCGGGAATGTTGTTTTCTGCGAGTACCATCGCTCACGAAGGTACTTGAATCAAATAGTTATTTGCCAAGAGTTGTAACGAGGTGAAGGTTTTGTATCAAGGAGGTCTATATGCGAGCGCATAAGTGCGCGATACAACAACAAAGTGTAAATGTGCGTAATTAATGTAAAAATAGAAAACAACGAACTTGGAGATATTGTCGATCGTCTTTAATGCCGTCCCGAAAGAAACTTATAGGCTTCAAGACAGGAAAATAATCGACAACGAATTCACGCAAACCGTTCAGCGTTTGTAACTGCTTATCCACTAAGGCGTGCTGCTGCATTGACCAGAACAAACGGCAGTTGGAAGGGGCTCCAACTCTGGTGAATATGCCGTGTGTGGTGGAACTTCCCATCTCAAGTTCAAGAGGGTCTCCTAAGTCGCGCGTGCAACGTGAGGTAGTCAAGCGTTGTCATGCAGCAGTATAACGTTCCTGCTTCCTAGCCCGGTAAGTGGCCTTTTCTGATCAATTTCTTCGCTCAGTTTGTTTATGTGTCGACTGTAGCGTTCCTCAGTCGCAGTTTGACCAGTTTCCAGGAGATCATAATAACCTACACCTTTCATGTCCCATCATCTACACAGGAGAACATTCTGCAAGTGGATGTCCTATTTCGGCGGCGACGTACTGAGTTGCCTGGGATCTACCCACGACTTGTTATGTTTGGGATTCTCGTAAAAAAATATACTCTTCATCACCCGTCACAATTCCCCACTAAAGCTCCTTTTTGTGTTGCCGGAGGGGAAGCAGTGAAAGACATGTGTTCATACGGTGACCTAGTTTGTGTTCGGTCAACACATGTGGGGGTATCCAACTTCCAAGTTTTTGAATTTCTTCAATTTGGTGCAAACGCTGTTTGGGTGACTCCTAACTTAGCTGCTACCCCCTGTCGCGTTTGCGTTGAGTCTTCATCAAGTAGAGCTTGCAAGTACGCATCTCCAAACTTTCGAGGCTGCTGTCTGGGGCGCGGCTTGTCACTAAGATCGACATTACCAATTCTAAAGCGCTTGTACCAATAATTACACATTCCATGGGGCATATTATCGAGAACAAGAACACTGCAAATTGATTCCCGTGCTTCTGAAGCATTTTCCCCCCTGTTTGAATTCGCATGAAATACAGTGCCGCGTGTGCTGCTTACCGGCTGCCATCGTAAACTCGGTTATTCTGAGAGGTTCAATCGGTGTTCTGAAACCTTGCATCCGGTCATTTCAAAACCACAAAAGGCCACGAAAATATTTTTCCGGTAAACATAATTTAAAGCTCGACGAAAAACCTGCACAAATTAAGTCATGCACCGCATAAATTGAACAGCGAACTTGAAACAGCGGAGGGGTCTGCAATAACCGCTCGATTCAACGAGAAAAGTAACACCAGCGTGTAAAACCATTTCGTTAGGATCGGCCGGTGCCACTCCAGCCAGAGTGTGTACTCTTTTCCCAGAACCGTGTTAAAGTGCATCAATAAGCTAGCGACACAGGATTGTGGTGGTTACCATGTCAGACCCCAGAACTAAGCTTGCAAGACAACTGACTCACGGAAGATGGGTTGGTGTCGGGGGGTTGGACCTCAACAGGGGGCGCAGCAGCAGCAGCTAAAACGGAACGACAAAGCGTAAATTACGAAATATCGCTGTCACTAGTATGGGTGAAGTCTCGAATTGCAAATTTTCTCGCATTGCTGTGTTTGATCGCAAGAGATAACGGCACGTGGTGATTGTTTGCTAACGCCTGCAATCCAGGCAATTGCCTCCTCGCTACATGCTTGCTCAACGGCACAAAAAACTACCAAGCTGTTTGATGCAATTTATAAGGCCTCCAAGAATGCGCAATTTGTAAAACAATGCTCAAACGATGGCACGCGGAAGAAGGCAAAGGGTGGCGATTGGTGGATCAGTGAGGGGTCACTAAACTAACCTGCATCGAGCGGTGGTTCATCCGCTGAGACAGCAGCAGCAGCAGCAGGAGGGGAATGAGGAGGAGGAGGTGGATGGACCTGAAGTGGACAAAATGCGGTAAGAGAAGCCCCGTGAAGACGACCACACTGTGCGTGTGGCAGTTTTGTGGACAATACCTGTGGTTCAGGACCTAAAACGGCAAAAATCAACGCGTTAAATGACGCAAGCTATCGAGTTAAAACAAGAAAAAAGTAGATGAGAACGCACCAGTAGCGAGCTCCACGAGCAGTTCCTGTGTGGCCTAAAAGGATTTTGAACACGGTTTTATCAAAACCAACGTAGTTCGATTAAAAAAAAAAATATGAGTTGCAGCGTCTAACTTAAATGGCAGCATGGCAATAGGAAATGCGCAGGGCAGATCAAGATGGGATTGTGACAGAGTAAACAAGCGGGTCGGCGAAGCAGCTATCGTATCACACCCAGTTGAGGTGGTTTTTACGGTCAACAAAAAAAATTGGCGACGTTGGAAATGACACATTTTCCACGTACCGTTTTGGAGTCCACGGGTTCGTTTGTGGCTGAAAGAATGAGGGGAAAAGCGTTAGAGTCGCGGCAAGAGTGGGCTGACTCTGAAAGTACACAACGGTTGCCAAGGCGTTGGCGCATACTTGGTTTGTCCAGAGGTGATTAGTGGTTAATCAGAGCGAGGTACAGGCACAAGAGATCAAAACCAACAGCAGCAGCAGCAACAACAACAACAACAACGAAGTGACTGAAAGTGTTTGTTTGCAGGACTCGAAAATTAGAAGTAGAAGACAAGACACTGACTTACCAGGCACTGGTTGTTGACTTGGTTCAGATGGCTAAAATGAAATATTGCAAATAAAAATAGCGTCAAATTTGCAGAGGCGGCGCCAGTGAGGTGTGTTTGGACAGGTAGACAGGATTCCATGAAGGTGAACGCTTAATCCATCCCATGTGGGGCCTAAGACCAACCCCCGAATTGGAGGCCGTCGCTAAACCGGCAGTGCCGTGAGTAATAACGCCAAATAGCCAATAAGAGCCCGTGTTCAGGACAAGATCGGCGCGTTCGCAGTGCGATTTCAGAATTTTGGAGAAATAGGGAGTCGAAGCTAAAATTTGGTTGATTAGTAATACGTAGGAATAAAGTTACGTGCGCTTAGTGCGAAAACAGTAAACATTGCTGCAGCTAAATTGCATACTTTTTGGGAAATTCTCGGGGGAGGGGGGGGGCAAAGTTAACACGACGAAAAGTACCTGGGGTGTAGGAGGTTGGAAAGGTGACGGACCTAAAAAACAATGGTGATTTTCAAAAGCGTGCCGTCTCCCCAATGGGATACAACTCACGTGGACATGAGTCGCAAGCAATTGTCAGGAAACGCTAAATGTTAGTAGGAAAAGTGACGCGCGCGGAATTCCGTGTCTAGATTCCGAATCACCATCAGCACTGTTTATCCTACTCATTGACAAGAATGATTATGCTGTGCTAAATATATGCTTAGCGCACAAAGGAGCAAGCTATAATAAGAAATGACTAATGAGATCTCATAATTTTGATGATTTTGGTCATCAAGTCATTCACTTACAATGCTACAATTATCACAAGTTTTAATTTTGCAACAGATACCTTCATTTTTACGCTTACAACAAGTGTGTGTGTGAGTTAAAAAGCCACTCACCTCGAGGAGGTGACTCGGACTGCGGCAACACTGCAGGGACGGGCATCGGTGGAGGAGGAGAGGCGGTTGAGGCATTCCACTCAGAAGACCGCATGATGTTTGCGATGATGCACGCCTAGAAAAGGGACCAGGGGCATGCGAATTATCATGAACAGCAAGGTGATCGTCGAGGAGATAACTGATAGGCTCAGAACTTCCTGAAAGTTATCGATTGTTCTTCATGGCCAAGTTTCAATTTTGGTGAAGGAAACCAGGAGCGCTGTTGGTACAAGTTCGAACGGCGAAACAACGCGGCTCATGACACGCGCACGGCCACCGCGAGAATTCGATGGCGCCATTAGGTGATAAATCGCAAACACGGCGGTAAGAATAAGCTTATTGTGTGCAGATTAAGACCCTCCACCCAGCCTCATCGCCGCCACCACCACCATGGCAAGCCTCCTGTCAGTGGTGGTGGTGGTGGCGGCGGTGGTGGTAACACGTGCACTTGGAGAGACCTCCACAACTAACTACAGCCACCTCATGAGCTCCCAAGCACGTAAAAAAGCACTGAAAACCTCACTCCTGCATTTGTAGCCTTGCCAGCAGTAGCAATGCTCCAGTCCTACGACGAGCGGTAACATGGCGTAAAATCGTGGAGACTCGCGAGTGGACAAGGCGTTGATCTGCCACGGTTCACAACAGTCCGCCAAACCACGTCAATTCAGTGGGTGGATCACCCACGGCACACCACTGACAGCTCCTGGTCAAGGTTATTCCTTACTTACATAAGTGGACACATTCAGATATCTCACTCAGCCTTTGATTAGGACATTAAAAGCTCTCTGTACGAGGTTCTGCGTTGTCTTACATCAGCGTGTGAAGATCGGGTCTAGCGTCAGACGAGGGATCTGGGGTGCCGGTTACGTGAGTGCATTTTCTGGTTTTGGGGTAAAATGTAACACGATCGCAACAAACGTCCAGTACGCACACCGAATACAAGCATTTACACGCGCTGTGCTCGCCATGAACGAACAAACTTTAGCGCAAGGAAAGTTGGGAAACACGTTAGTAAAAATGAGAATAAGCCATTTTTGTACAATTTAGCTTATCGATTCTACGATTAGAAATGTAAAATTACATGCCAGTTGATAAATTCAGTGAACAGCAATTGGTGAGAATGGAAACGTTATCTTGCGTTGCTGCAGGAATTGGCCAATGAAACTGCGAGAGAAGGCTCTGCTCAGTGGCATTGCATTTGCGCACTAAAGTTGCTTACGATCTCGGTGGAAAGCAGTTTTGAGGTGTAAATACAATTGAAGAATGTCAAAGGCCAGTGAAATCGACGTGTCCGTTTACGAGCGCGCCTCACCCGATGCGCGGCGTGGCGCACCCTACACATGGCTCCTTTCTCTCTCGCTCTAGGTGTGCGTGTGTGTGTGTGTGTGCAGCTACCAAATTTAATTCATCCACAACGCACAACCCGGTGTAGGCTCTGACGCTCCGCACATGACGAATTTACAGCATAACACATGGCACTCCGCTACAAATTCACAGTCCCACACTCATTACGATGAGGTATTCACTGTTATTGCATTCCCCAGCGAAACAACGCTATTGAAGTACTGGCATTCGTCACTTGAAAAAACCCAGCACCACCCAAGTGGGCGAATCTGCACACACACACACACACACACACACACACACACACACACCGGGAGCATCCTCATATCTACTAGAGCCGTGTGTGTGTGTGGTTAAATTCCAACACGAAGACGCCACGTACCAATCTAGTAGCCCGTTTGTACGGGGAGGAGTCGAGGCAGTGTCCATGGGAATAAACCCCACATAATATCTGGTCAACAGTGCGCTCCTCTTTCACCAAGCTCATAAAAGGAAAAGCCCACGAAACCAGGGATGGCAATAAGGCGAAAATGCAGGCCTCATTTCAGGAGGCGATTAAAAACCAGGCCAATAGCCCGAGTACACAGGGCTAAAATTTATGTTGCGCGGCACCTTGAACCTGGAGGCAAAAAAATATGCAAAACGCACCTTTTCTGGTGAATCGCCTTCCTCATTCATGGTGGCTAGAAGGGTCAGCTGCAGGTTGAGGAGTCGTTCCGCAAACTACAAAAGGCAAGCGCTCTTTAAACACTGCAGGCTTGCAGGAGGCTTTATTTTTTAAAAACGCCCACACACAAGGCGGTTTCGCACCACCCTCAAGCCGATTTGCTCCAGTTTTTCTTAGTATAATAACAGAAAGAAAGTACCACCTCGGGCTAGTTGCTCCATCAACCCAACTTAACGGTCACAGTAACCATTCGAAAATAGCGCTCTGAGGTAAACAGTAAACACTCACTACTTTTTACTACCTCCAAGCGGCAATTGAAAGAAAAAAACATTGAAAGACGTCGCAATCTTCTACAATCTACATTTTGACAATATTGGGCGAATCGTATCTAGATCATATCAATGCCATGCTACGAGGTATTCGTGACGGCAACAATGAGGCGGCTTGTCTTTCGAATTTCTTTCCGTCTTAACAAGGAAATCAAAGAGGTTTGGGGCGGCGAACACTCATATCTAGGTAACTTCACGATTCCTATTTTACAGCATACAACACGAAGTGGAACCGCTGTTCACTAAAACAGACCCTTCAACCCAATTCATTGTTCTTTATAACTGACGTTGCACTACTAGATCTTAGATTCGATAATTAGGAAAAGTAGAGCCTAAATTCGGATCTGAAAGAGTAAATCATGTCATTATTTTGTCACTACTGAATCCAGGGTGTCACTGAAGCCCTCCATAGGTATCGCTGTGTCGTCTTTTATGGAAATAAAAGACGACAACCTACCTCGCCAGCCTTGGGAGTCTCAAAGAAGTGGCACAAATGGAAGTCACCTGGCGGGAGATCGCACCACTGAGCGGAGTGTGGCTTGGATGTCATCAACAGAAGAAGACTAGATGCGAAGAAAGTAGACGAAATAAGACAGGGCACACAGGCATGGCCCGAAACCGAGGGGAATACAGTGGTCGGGTTCTGGTGAATGAACACGCATCAGGAAAGACAGTGACTCTCAGCATTTGCAAAATGAGAGCCTTTGAGCCCCGGGTCGAACGGATTCAAGTGATTTACCAGTTGGTTTGCAATGACAGGTAATCTATTCAGCACATAAAGTGCATCGCTTAATAAAAAAACAACTCCTCGAGCGAAGTCAATGGCAAGTCTAACATCGCCGCACCCCAAGACTATTAAAACCTGTGGGCAATTAAAATGTTTCCAAGCAATCAAAAAAAATTCACTACGAAGTTGGCGCGAGTGCTCCTGGCGGGGTGATTTACAGCCATGACAACTAGTCAACACCAAACAGAATCGGAATGGGTACAGCGACGTTGCCCGAAGACGACCGCAGACAAAGAGGGGTGAGTCAGCGCGGGTGATCTCAAAGGCGCGGCACGACCACCACAAAAAGTCCAGCTCACCAACCGGCGGGGTTGGGGAGGTTTTGTCGAAATAAGCCATCAAGCACATCCCTGTTAGGGATCCGCGATACCCCAAGATTGCTCATCGTTAGTTTTTTGGCACCATTTACACTAATTCCCAACTATCTGTTTTGTTAAGCTCTTTATCGGGTCAAGGTCAACCTTGACTCAAACTAAATTCACTTTTGGCAACTCACTCCGCACGTGGCTGACGTGATTAAAGCTCTCTACACGAGCTCGGGTCTTGTTCTTGTACTAGCGTGAGAAGATTGGTGCTAACGTCAACAAGAAATGTGGTACCGTTATTTGAGTGGTTTTCTCTTTGTTATGGCCAAACGTAACAATCCCA